CACCGCAACCTCCGTCTCCTGGGTTCAGGCAATTCTCCTGCCTCAGCCTCCTGAGTAGCTGGGATTACAGGCACGCGCCACCATGCCCAGCTAATTTTTTGTATTTTTAGTAGAGACGGGGTTTCACCATGTTGACCAGGATGGTCTCGATCTCTTGACCTTGTGATCCACCCGCCTCGGCCTCCCAAAGTGCTGGGATTACAGGCTTGAGCCACCGCGCCTGGCCTATTTTCTTTAATTTACAAAGAATTCTTTGTAAAATAGGCATATAGGCAAACATGTTCACAAAAAAATACAAATTTTTTTGTTAATTAATAAAAGCACAGTACCAATTTTCACCCATCAAACTGACATACATTTAAAAAAATTCTGGGTATACCTGCTGTTGGTGAGGTTGTACAGAAACAAGTACTCTCATGTAGCCTCTTGGAGTATAAGTGAAATAATAATTTGGGAGAATATAGGCACCATCAAAACATTAAATATCCTCAAAGAAATAAATTCTATTTTTAGAAATACACACATATACAAACATACACAGAATTAGGTTCAAGAATGCTGATTATTGTTTTTAATATTAGAATTCTGATAGCAATCTAAATGGCCATCAATAAGGATCCAATTAAATCAACTACAGTCTATCCATAAAATGGACCATTCTATACATACAGAAATGAGTCCAAAACCTGCTAGGTGGAAAAAGCAATTTATTTCTGTGTGTGTGTGTGTGTGTGTGTGTGTGTGTGTATTTCTGTATATAAACAATTATATATATGTAACATATTAAAATATATATAAGATATATACATCTTTATATATTATAAAATATGTAATATACTCATAATATATAAAAACTCTATAATTATATACTATATATTATATGGATTATATGTCAGAATTATATGTAATTTTGTATATACAAACAGAAATATATATATATAATATACACATTGTATATATACACACACAGAAAATGTCTGTCTAAAAGGCTACCCAAAAAACTTATCACGGGTTATTAATGCTAGTCAGTGGCATTAGTTTACAGAGTAAGAAGGGGGATTTTACATTTACTTTGTATCAGGAGTGTCCAATCTTTTGGCTTCCCTGGGCCACACTGTAAGAAGAATTATCTTGGGCCATGCATAAAATACACTAACACTAACTATAACTGATGAGTTAAAAAAAAAAAAAAAAAACAACAACACTTTGCAAGGCCAAAGTGGGTGGATCACTTGAGTTCAGGAGTTTGAGACCAGCCTGGTCAACATGGTGAAACCCTATTTCTACTAAAAATACAAAAAATTGGCCAGGCATGGTGGTGTGTGCCTGTAGTACACACCAGCTACTCAGGAGGCTGAGGCAGAAGAATCACTTCAACCTGGGAGGTGGACGTTGCAGTGAGCCAAGATTGTGCCACTGCACTCCAGCGTGGGTGACAGAGCAAGACTCTGTTTAAAAAAAAAAAGAGTTTACAAATTTATGTTAAGCTATATTCAAAGCCTTCCTATGGGGCCGAAGGTTGGACAATCTTGCTTCATATCATTTCTATTCAAATTAAATTTTTTAAATGATCATATATTGCTTTCATAATCTAAAAATTCAAATAGTTGATACCATTGTAAATAAAAATTAAAACTTATGAATCAAAGTGTACTAGAGAAAAGATTATGCATGACTTTAAGGTCTGATTTTGAAATTGTAAGGATTATATACCAAATTCTGCTAATAATTCATCCAAAGAAATCCCTAGAGAAATGTGTTAATCTATAAATAGTTTACAATAGACAAAATATGATTTCGATCTCTATGGACCACAATAGTTGGTTCTCTTATTACCTCTGCCATTCTTTCTGCTGTGGTGAAAGATCAAATACTGTCTGAAATGAAAGAAAACATAATCACTAGCATTGCCAAATTCTCTTGACTTTTACATCACAATTTAAACATTTTTTCTTTGAGCAAGAAACAAACATAATGTTAAAAACAAGTATTCATGGTTTACATTCATCTGCTATAAGTCAAATATTAATGTGAAAGCTTTACTCAAAAATAGCATAAAGAAATTTTATGAATCGCAAATATACATGCAAGTTGACAATTTATCTTATGTATAAAATTGTATCTTAGGACTTAAAATCATTTAAATGATACTAGCATGAAATTCACAAGTATTGGAGAAGAAAATGACATACAGAGTTATATTCAAGCATCCAAAGCCCATATTTTTGCTGGTAAAATACCATAACAGAATCAACAATTTTTGAAATGAGTTAAAAAATAGCACTGTAATTCCTAAACGTGTTAATCAACAAAGAAGCACTTAAGAAATTTTATCTAGGCATGATCCTCATCAATTCAAAGTCAGACTTCACTGCTTCTAAGAGTCAAAGAAAAATATGCAAACTCCTTATAATAGTTACATCCACAATTTATGCAACAAAAAAAATCCACTTTTCAGCCAATAGCGTTGGCTCACGCCTATAATTCTGGCACTTTGGGATGCCAGGACAGGTGAATTGCCTGAGATAAGGCGTTTGAGACTAGCCTGGGCAACATGGTGAAACCCTGTCTCTACTAAACTGCAAAAAATTAGCCAGGTGTGGTGGTGGGCACCTGTAATCCCAGCTACCCAGGAGGCTGAGTCACGAGAATTGCTTGAACTTGGGAGGCAGAGGTTGCAGTGAGACATTATCTTGCCAATGCCCTCAGCCTAGGCAACAAAGTGAAACTCTGTCTTTAAAAAAAAAAAAAAAAAAAAAAAAAAAAAAATCCACTTTTCTAGTCCTAGTTCACAGCTCTACTTCTGTGACTTTAATATTTTAATTACATCAATCTAGAACCTACCTCTCATGTAACTGTGAGCCTCATGTTCAAGTTTTATACCACCATATGCTCCAAGCTAAATTGTCCCAATCTTTCTGATGCTTCCTTTGATTACACCTCCTGATGAATTTGTCTAAAGCATGCTACTAAACCTTTTTCCCATGACAGCACATAAAGAAAATGCTAAAATCTATAAAACACACCACGGCAAACCAATAAAGCTGTACAGTTACTCTCCAGCTAATGTATAAATAAAATGATTGACAGTGGGGACTATATGATTTTTCCTCTGAATTCCTCAACCTGCTCTGTACAGTGTTTACTTATCACAAGGGTATAAAGAAGCTACTTTGCTAGGCACTATGCTAACTCATGATCTCATTTAACCTTCCTAACAACCTCATGAATTTGTGATTACTCTTCCTCTTTTGCACATGAGGAAACAGGAGCTCAAAAAGTTACAACTTTTTTCCAGAATCACAGATAGTAAGAGTCAGTATACAAACTTAGCTCTATCAGATTACTTTCCCACCTTTTAAAAATTCTTTTTTTTTTTAAATAAATAGTAACTAAATGTAACAGAAAATAGCAAAATAGTAACTATCATAGCATATATACAGATCATGGTTTGGAAACTAGTAGAGTTATTAGGGCTAGGTTTTTAATATTCAGAGTGCATATTAGAATAATGAGCAAAATTTTTTTAAAGTTAAAATTATATTTTAAATAATTTTATATTAAACATAATTCTTAACCACGTTTATATAAATTAGGAAAGAACAGCTTCCTAAAAGCACTGTTATTACTGATGAGAAGTATACAACTAAATATTTTGAAGTTCTTAATTTTCTCATTAAGACATGACTTTTAATTATAACAATTTAAATTAAATGTTCTTGCTCCATAAATGACTGGAAGAGATGGCAAAAACTGTTTACAATGAAAACAGTCAATCATATTGTCCCAACTGTATAATTCTAACATATCGTTATTGCCTAAAACCTGCAAAGCATTTTGCAGTACATTTTGAGAACTACAAAGGTGAAAGAATAAAACTAATTATTCTCAGGAGTTTAAAATCCAGATAAGAGATGTAGGGGGGAAAAAAAAAAGACAAGATAAAAACAGGCATCTCATAAATGTGGGGAAAAAAAGAGAATGAGCACGACAGAATATGGAGAAAATGCTAGAGAAACAGTGTAAATGAATTTTAGGAAATACATTCAAGATTATAATATATAAACACCAAATTCTCAGTGTCCAAAAGAAACATAAAAATGGGAATGCAATCTTTATTACCATCTTAAATCTTTTTAAATTAACGTTCATATTTTGGAAACTTTTATGAATTTATACAAGACCACATACAAACAAAACCAATTTGAGAAAGAGCCTAAAACAAGTTTATGTTTCATAGGATAGATAAACCCACGTGAAAGGGACTTTCCCCAGTTCGGAGCAACAGCGGAAATGGGTAATAAAAGATAATAGCAGAAAGATACAAACAGTCATGCTGGAATCCATAAAACATGCCTACAAATTTTTGCTGTAAAAGAAATCTCAAAAAGTCCCTCCTCAACAGAATGGAGAATCCAGAAACAAAGCTGCACACCTACACCCATTTGTTCTTTGACAAAATCAGCAAAAAAAAGCATTGGGGAAAGGATTATCTTTTCAATAAATGGTGCTGGGAGAGCTGGTTAGCCATATGCAGAAGAATGAAACTTGGCCCAAATCTGTCACCATATACAAAAATTAAGTCAAGATGGGAAAAGATTTAAATGGCCTTAAACTATGAGAATCCTAGAAGAAAATCTGGGAAACACCATTGTAGGCATCAGCCTTGGGAAAAAAATTATGACTATGTCCCCACAAGCAATTGTAACAAAAACAAAAACTGAAAAGTCAGAGCTAATTAAACTAAAGAGCTTCTGCATAGAAAACAAAAACAAAAACTACCAACAGAGTGAACAGACAACCTACAGAATGGGAGAAAATATTCACAAGCTATGCATCTGATAAAGGTGTAATATCCAGAATCGATAAGGAACTTAACTGAACAAGCAGAGAACAACCCCATTAAAAAGTGGGCAAAGGGCATGAACACATACTTCTCAGAAGACATACAAGTGGCCAATAAACATGAAGAGATGCTCCATATCACTAATCATAAGAGAAATACAAATCAAAACCACAATGAGATGCCACCTCACGCCAGTCAGAACAGCTATTACTAACACGTCTCGAAAACACAAAAAACAAAAAACTAGATGCTGGAGAGGCTGAGGAGAAAAGGGAACACTAATATGCTGCTGGTAAAAAGGTAAATTAGTTCAGCCACTGTGGAGGCAGTTTGGAGAGTTCTCAAAGAACTTAGATTATTATTCAACTCGGCAATCCTATTACTGGGTATATACTCAAAGGTATATATTGTGAATATACTATTCACAATAGCAAATACATGGAATCAACCTAGGTACCCATCAACGGTAAATGGGATAAAGAAAATGTGGTATACATTCACCAGGGAATACTATGTAGCCATAAAAAAAAAAACAAACTGCTGTCCTTTGCAGCAATATGAATGCAGCTGGAGGCAATAATCCTAAGCAAATTAATGACAGGACAGAAAACCATATACCATATGTTCTCATTTATAAGTGGGAGCTAAATGTTGGATACTCACGGACATAAAGATGGCAACAACAGAAAGTGGGGACTATTAGAGAGGGGAGGGAGGGAGAAGGGAAAGGGATGAAAAACTATTGGTTATTATGCCCCGTACCTGGGTGATGGGATCAATCAACCCAAAACCTCAGAATTATACAATATACCCAGCTAACAAACCTGCACACGTACCACATGAATCTAAAATAAAAGTTGAAAAAACAGTACCTCTTCAAGATGGTAAACAAAAATAAAGAATGGCACAAAATAAAAGAAAGAAAACAAAGGATGAATAATTATTCTTAAAATAGTATAAAACCTAATGCAAATATTAAAGTATCTTATAATAATCACTTAGATCAAAATTACCAGATAATAGTAATATATCCAAAATGTTAATAATGGTCACCTCAAGATTTTGGTATATAACATAACTTTTCTGTTTTTCCCCCGAATTTATTACAAAGATTATGAATTACTTTTGAAATAAGATAATTATACGGAAAACTATTTCAGACAAAACTAAAAACAAATAGAAATCAAAACTGTCTTCAAGAGTGCAATTCCTCAACCCATGTATTTCAAAGAACCATGTGAATCAAACTTACTGGTTCATAAACTAGACCATCTGCAGATGCAACCATTGTTTCTGCTAAATCCAATACATCTGCTCCAACATCTGCATACAAAAAAGATTTAGAAGTTTTACATTCTACGGTCGGAGGCAAACTATCCCCAATATAAAATAAATTAAGACAACTAACAGAAAACTCACCAAGTGGGAAGAAAAAAAAAACAACAAAAAAAATTCACCAAGTATGTGAAACTACTTCCTATACTGCTCATTTGTTAAAAAGCTAAAATAGCAATTTTATATAGCTTTGGTGGAGATTATTCCAAAATGCAATTTTTTTTCTACTTCTTGCTAAGTAAAAAAGATAATTCAAGATCTCATTTAAAAAGGATAAGCTTTACTGAATTGAAGAGCTTTGCAAATATCAGCAAGAACCTAATCACAAGTACTAAGTGGCCGCTGAACAAAATATTAAATGCAAGAAAGATTTTTAGAGATTAAAAGAAATCTTAAAACAAAGCTACAAATCAACAAATAAAAAATTTTACTTGGAAAACTCTAAAATTAAACAGTATTCAAACATCCAAAATAAGGCAGAGCGTCATATATTCAGAATTACCACTAACTCCAAGTTTAGATATAAAGTACTTTTTTAATCTCTTAAAACCACTAACATAAGGAAAAATATGTTGAAAAGAAAAAGAGATTCAAGGTTGTTCTGAGATGGAGTATCACTGAAACTAATCTCTAACTGGGTAAAATTATTTCACACTCTTAAAATGTTAAAAATTTTCTCTTGAGTTCTTGGTCTATAATTTTTAAGCAGTAACATAAAATATTTTTCATGTAAAAGCATCCTTATTTCTGAAAACAGTATTGATTCAAACATTCACTATCTGGCATATTAGCATTTTTCTGATTCTAGTATAACCAAGTGAGGCCACTGAAGGAAAAAAAAAGGGGGGGTAACCTATCATTATTAACTTAAAAGAGCTAGATCTGTATTTTTAAACGCAAGAGTAAACATAAAGGGTGGTAAACTGAAACAGTACACAAGGGTATGCTTGTGAAACATGGGTATAAAGGCTAGTACTCCAAACACGAAAGACAGAAAGTTTGTATATAAACTAGAATGCTGATTCACAAATATTTCCTCCAACTTTCTTTTAATTATATAATGTAAAAGTTAAGTCTCTTCTCTTTATAGGAAATAAAGAATATAAGCTGAGGAGTATAACAATTTGCATTATTAAATAATACCACAGTAACATTTAAAAATATTATAAAGGAAAAGTAAAGTTAAAATACAACTAGTAGTTTTTATTTTTGATTGGCAATTGTTTGAACCGTAAGTTACATAGGGATTTAGCAAGCCGAAGGTGTACTTACATTGACACTTCATGGCAACAGTAATATCTATATTGATTCTCAATTTGCTGAAAGAAAAAATATTAAACATTAGTATCTACCAATTAATCAGCAAAACATGAGAAATATAAATAAACTGATCTATTAAAAACTTGGATTTTAAGCAGAATAAATTATGTTGATTAAAATTTGAATTGCATTTCTCATGGCCAAAACAAAGGCACAAAGTATAAGTTCTATTTGCCCTTATTCCAAAAGCCTTTCTGACTTCACAGGTTTTCAACATAGTATCCTTTAATGGCAACTCTATAATCAATAACTCTAAGCAACTCAGAAAAGAATCTTAACTTCTAAACTTCTATTTACATGAACTTTTGATAGAATGTTCCTTTAAGAGTGTAAAACTCTCAAAATCAAGAATTAGAAATTGTCTTTCTTCTCTGTTTACCAAATACCATATATCAAACATTATGCTAGATGTTCTACAAATATTATCTTCTTTACTCTATATAACGGACCTGTTAAGTGGATGGCTTCACAGATTTTCAAGTAAACCACTGGTGTTCAGGGTAAATGCCTGGCTTAAGATCACTTCACCATTAAAGTGCCATACTGGATACTAGGTCTATGTAACTCAGATAAATGCAACCAAACTACCAGAAGTAAATCATCTGATGCTTAACATTTTTCATGGCCTTTCATTTTCAAATAATTAGATCAAATCAATTTTCAAATACCGGAACTAAGCATTGTGAATAGTAGACTGGCTACAATCAAATTCTGTCCTGTGCTTTCTATCAAATCTTTTTTTCTGTGTAATAATTTTCATCTGATTTAAATAGGAATTACAGATTTTTAGAACTTCATAAAATTCTTTTTTTTTTTTTTTTTTTTTTTTTTTTTTTGATTTAGTTTCACTTTTGTTGCCAAGGCTGGAATGAAATGGTATGATCTCAGCTCACGGCAACCTCTGCTTCCTGGATTCAAGCAATTCTCCTGCCTCAGCCTTTGGAGTAGCTGCGATTACAGGTGTGCACCACTACGCCTGGCAAATTTTGTATTTTTAGTGGAAATGGGGTTTCTCCATGTTAGTCAGGCTGGTCTTGAACTCCCAACCTCAGGAGATCTGCCTGCCTTGGCCACCCAAAGAGCTGGGATTACAGGTGTGAGCCATCGCGCCCAGCCAAGTCTAAAAGTCATCTAAAGTTCAAACCGTGCTCCAAATAACTCAAGGATTTAGGCTCGGGAGATACGAACCACGAGTAGGCCAAGTAGACAGGCTTCTACATATCCTCACCATGCTTATGTGGTAAACTATGTAATACATAAGACTTCATCTAGGAAAAAAATGAAGTATTGCATTGGTGCTGAAAACAATAACAAACTCTTTGAAAACCAATGCTATCTTGAATAATACATTACAGATAAAGAAACTGAAGTCCAAAAGAAGTCAGTGGTGTGACCTGCTCACGGTTACACAGCAATTTACAAATGTTGACTAATCTAATTCTCATAAGCCTCATGAGGAAGATACTATAATTGCCATCTATAATTTATAGAAAAGGAAACTGAAGCATATCTAAACTGAGGTATAGATTTAGTAACTTCCTTAAAATCATGCAAATAGCAGAACCTGGATTGTAACTGAAAACTAAATGTGTCTTCCTATTTGGTGCAATCTTAATATTATAAACCTATTGTCTTTAGTCCATTGAAAAAATCCAAATAATACAAATGAATAGATGTAAAGTGTATAATTAAGGTACTATATTTTCAGAAGTTTAAAAGTAATCTTATTTACATAAATATTTAGCTTAGGTATAACTTACAGATATGAAGTCATAAAGGTATACAATGTACCTTTAGAAAATTTATTTTCCAGCTCACACAGATCACTTAGGTATTTCAACCAGTTTCAAATATTAAACAATTTCCACAATATACATATCTGAGGAAAAATATTCCCCTAACCTTTTGAAATGAAGCCATGCTAAATCAAAGACCCTTGGTTTTGGAATTCAACCACTATTTAAATGATTCTAAAAGGTTTCACTTAATGCATGCAATTAATGAGAATTTTTCAGGACTATTTCTTCAGAGCTAAAACAAACCAAATCTAGAAGGTTAGACTTTTTAAAACACAGGCTCTTTTTGAAACAATTTGAATCTAAAGGCATTTCAAGAAGAAAAAAATGATTACCTAGAAAAATCCTTGTCTACTTCATATTCATACTTCATCCATGTATCTTGATATACTGAGAATTCCATTATGGTTAATAAAGCCATAGTGGTAAATGCTATTAGAGAAACTGAGAAATCCAACAACAAAAGAAAAACAGAATTAAAACAATAAAAAAAAAGCAAAGAACAGGAAACTATTTTAAGTGAGATTAAATTTTCAAAACAAAAGGCCTAATAATGTGATTTCCATTTGAATGAACATTACAGAAAGTTTTTATTCAAAATGTTTATTGGATTTTTTTCTAATACACCTCAAAAGGTTTAATATATATAAATACAAACATAAACATTTGCACTACTAAGAAAGCATTTTATTTCTCCAATTTTAAGGGCATGTCTCACTAAATAGATTTGACAAAATTTGTATTTTCTTATATATAACAGTGTCACAGATAGGATAAAAGATGAAAGTAAGCATGCCTTATAGTAAAAATTTGAAAACAGTTGCTTCATTATTAAAAATACATCCATGTCTATAGCCCAATTTAAAACAAACAAAAAGCTAGCCTAATTTCTTAGATCCTGAGAAACCACAATAATCTGTGTGCCAGAAACTCAAATAACATCTCTAAGTATGTGTGCCAGAAACTCAAATAACATCTCTAAATATGTGTGCCAGAAACCCAAATAACATCTCTAAGTATCTAACAAAACTCTCTTCCACTGTGCAATCTCCTAAATATATCACCTCATTTACAAAACTGAGTAAAAGATCTGACCAAAAGGAAAACTATTATGTACTACGGCAAAGTACTTGAAATAGATTTTGCAAGAAACTATTTTCATTAACAAAACTTAGTCATAAGTAATTAGAAATAGTGAGCAACTTAGCCATTATACAAAATAAAATGTCAATCTCATGTGAAATACATTATTTTATTAGTTCTTCATGGGGAAAGAAATTATACTGATTATTGTTATAGTAACATATTTTTCTTATATATTTCATTATTTATTTTACTTAACAAATACTTTACCTGTACCAGGCATTGGTCTAAGCATTTTATGAAAATATTAATAATATAGTAAGCCCTAGGAGGCAAATACTAGTATCATCCCTATTTTGTGGAAGAAACTAAGACAGATATTTGAGTAACTTCCTCAAGGTCATATATTTAGGAAGAGACAGAAAGCAGTAACATTGGTTTAATTTATTAATTTTTTTTTTTTGTTTTTCATTTGTTTTTGTTTTTTTAGATGGCTTCTCACTCTGTCACCCAGTTTGGAGTGCAGTAGCGCAATCTCAGCTCCCTGCAACTTCTACCTCCCTGGTTCAAGCAATTCCCCTGCCTTAGCCTCCTGAGTAGCTGGGATTACAGGCACATGCCACCACGCCCAGCTAATTTTTTTGTCTTTTTAGTAGAGATGGGGTTTCATCATGTTAGCCCAACTGGTCTCAAACTCTTGACCTCAGGCAATCTGCCCGCCTCAGCCTCCCAAAGTGCTGGAATTACAAGCATGAGCCACCATCCCAGCCAATTGATTAATGTTTTAATAAACACAGCTAAAGGCACAGATAGTACTGAGTTGGATGCTACAGAGAATATTAATGAGAATAAAACGAGAGCCAAAAGAGTGACACGAAGACAGATAAGTTACAAAGTTACTGCAGAATTCATTGATAATTCTTCTTCATGGCTAAATTTCTGTATGTTGTTGACTGGATCACTTAGGAATTGTACTAACTTTTAATGTGAACTGCTACTCACCTGTACCTCCACTAGCTGATGTCTCTACATAGCTCTCAGGAACCTTTGGAAAGGCATCCAACTCTTTTACCAAACTTAAAGTTTTTTTCCGATTCAGTCGCCTCATCTTCAGGAAAACCTTCCTCTTCCTTCATATAGTCATGCTAAGGAATGAATAATGAATAAATGAATCCTTTAAAGAGATAAAAAGGTTTCTTTAAATTTAGGATAACTGACAAATGTCCTTGAAACAACTTAGCATTCTCATCCCCGCTTAGGAAAAAAAAAAAAATAGTATTTATCCACACATTTATCCTTTCCCCATTCATGCCCTGACAAAAACTACTAATGAAAGGTAATTTAAATACAAAAACACATTAAATAGCAAGAAAAAAGTGTAAGTAATTCAATCACACTAATAATGTCTAAATATACAAACTGAGATAATTTTTCTATTAAATTGAAAACTATATAAAAATAACACATTTCCAATAATGAATGACAGTTAAGTAAAATGGCTTGCTCATACATTACTAACAAGAACATAGGCTGGGCGGGAGGCTGAGGCAGGAGAATCACTTGAACCCAGGAGGCAGAGGTTGTAGTAGGCTGAGATAGCACCACTACACTCCAGCCTGGGTGACAGAGCAAGACTCCATCTCAAAAAATAATAATAAATACTACTCATAATAATAAGAATAGGAATATAAATATTTACCACTCCTCTTTTGACTAAGTAAATGCCCATTTAGGAATGTATCTTATTACAATAATCTGGGGTTTGAAACAAAATTTGATTATGAGAATATTTCTCACAGTGTTGTTATTTTTAAATACTGAAGACAGAAACAAACCCATGGTATCCAATGTACAAATTATGGTGAATAAATGCATCTTATCTTTATGTAACCATTGAAAATCTTTTTTTTTTTTTGACAGAGTCTTGCTCTGTCACCCAGGCTGGAGTACAGTGGTATGATCTCAGCTCACCACAACCTCTGCCTCCCTGGCTCAAGTGATCCTCCTCACCTCAGCCTCCCGAGTAGCTGGTACTATAAGCATGCGCCTCCATCTCCTGCTAATTTTTGTATTTTTTCTAAAGAAGGAGTTTCACCATGTTGCCCAGGCTGGTCTCAAACTCCTGGGCTGAAGCCTTCCACCCACCTCAGCTTCCCAAAAAAACTGCTGAGATTACAGTCATGAGCCACTATGCCTGGCCTGAAAATCTTTTATTAAAAAATAAAATAAAATTTAATGACAGAATAAAATAGTCATGATTCAGTAAGAAAAGACTAGATGGTCACATAGATCCTCATTTTATAGGTGACAGGAAAAAATATACAAGAAACAAAACTGAGCATCTATATACAAAAATGTTAAAAATTCTCATGAGAGAATTTTAATTGCCTTTACATATAACTTCAGATTTCCCAAATTATCTATTTTTATACTCAAACATTATTTAAAAATTGGCTGCTTGCTAGTCCCTTTTTATCAGTACGTCATCTATATCTAAAATTATAAAGCCCATCAAATAACTGAATTTTTAGATATTTATGTAATTTTTATAACAGATTTATAAATAATACTATAGGTAATACTATAAAGAATTCCTAGTAATCAAAGCTTTATTAATAAAATCAACACATAATAGCAGACTAAATCATATAGTTGCAAAAGTCACTATAAGAGAAATAATGTCTCTGGAAGAAAGCAGACAGACTTTGAATCTGAGATCTAATGGGTGGGATTAACATAAAAGAATAGGCAAGAGAAAGAACATTCATAAAGAAAAATAAGGGCCAGAGAATCAAAAATTGGCAGTAAACATGAATACTGTCTAAAAGAAAGAAGCTCTGACCAGGAGAGCTACTTATCAATCCAGCAGGGAGCTTCTACTCTAAAGTAGAATTGAAAGCATTAACATGTTGATTTCTTTTGCCATTAAAAACATGCAACTAACCTTCCCTTGCTGGTTCCATGCTCACAAAGCAGACTTCGAATTATGATTTTTTTCTCATGCACTTAGTTTTCTAAAGGAAAAACAGATGAGGTAGACAAAACAGATGACAGTTTCTAACAGCCACGTCACTTATAAAACTGGTATTCCCATTGATAAATTAAGCTTCTGAATGTTTGTTAGGTATATGTCGTGCCTGCTAAGTTTGTTCAGCTCTGATAATCAAATTTATTTTCCGTACCTTTTTAGTGATAACTGCACAAAAACTTACCCTTCTTCAATCTTTCAATTTCTACTTAGTCTCTCTGATTTGAGTAAAATATTAAATATCTTTATGTCTTTTCTCCTTAAAACAGAACTCTCCCTTAAACTCAAGTCCAACTCCAACTACACATCTCTGGCAGCATACCTACAGCCAACTTAAAAGAATGAGTTGTCCTCGGGGCCGGGCGCGGTGGTTCACGCCTGTAATCACAGCACTTTGGGAGGCCAAGGCGGGTGGATCACGAGGTCAAGAGATCGAGACCATCCTGGTCAACATGGTGAAACCCCGTCTCTACTAAAAATACAAAAAATCAGCTGGGCATGGTGGTGCGTGCCTGTAATCCCAGCTACTCAGGAGGCTGAGGCAGGAGAATTGCCTGAACCCAGGAGGTGGAGGTTGTGGTGAGCCAAGATCGTGCCATTGCACTCCAGCCTGGGCAAAAAGAGTGAAACTCCCTCTCCAAAAAACAAAAAAAAATAAAAAATATGAGTTGTCCTCATTCATCTACTGTGACTACTTCCTCACCCAACTCTCACCTCTCAACTAAATTTGCTCTGAGCAAGGTCAATTTCCTTAGTACTAAATGGACAGACACTCCTCAGTCCTTATCTAATTGCACCTCTGAGAAAGTACACTGTTTATCATTTCGTTTTCTTCTTGAAACATCATCTTAAGTGATATCACATTTCCGATTTTCATCCTACCTGGAAGACCCTCTTTGGATTATTTTGCAGATTCATCTTTCTCTCAAATTCTGCACTAGGTCCCCTCTCAACCTCTACACTTTCCCCAAATGATTGCCCATTCCTTCAATTTCAGTCTCATGTTGATCTCTCCCAAATTTTGATTCTCAGCCCAAATCTCTCTACAGATATATATAATCCTTTGCCTTCTGTTACATTTTCATTTGGACATTCCAAACAGAATTCAGACTCAACAAGTCCAAAAATGAATACTTCACCCTGTCAAAATTGTGCCTCCTGTATCTCCTATCTTAGTTAATGATAACACCATAAGCCAAACTACACAAGCCAGAAACATGGGCTATATCCTTAGACTTAAGATATTTCTAAATTTCCCTTAAATCTGCCTGTCCTCTCTTCTTCAGACTCTCTGAGAAATTCCTTATGTCCAAGTACATTCCTAGTCCCAATTGCCACTACATTGCTTCAACAACCTCTAGTCTTCAACCTTCCAATTCTCTCTCTATACTATAATAAAGAACAAATTATCCTTTTAATACATAAATCTGATTATATAATATTTCTCTTCTAATCTTTATATAACTTCCCTTCCCACTACACTTAAGAGCTTGGACTCTATCCTAACATGTTTTACAAAGCTCTTCAAAAATCAGGTCCTGCTAACCTCTCTTCAAACTCAATCCCTCACAGTCTGCGTTCCGATCATACCAAATCACTTTCAAGACCTAAAATATGCTATTATCTCTGCCTGAAATGTTCTTTCTTCCCCCTACCCCATCTCTTCATTTGACTAACTCCTACTTACTCTTCAAGGCCCAGTCTACTCATCTCTACCTTGAGACGGGGACAAAAAAGCTTTCCATGGCCCTCAACGTCTATCTGCGTCTAGAACACTGTACCTTTATGACACTATTTCTAATTGCTTCTTTCATTTTCTGTTTTCTCCAGTGGACTGTTAGAACAGGAACCATGTCTAACTTGATCTCTGTATCTCCAATGCTTAGCAAACAGGTATTCAATATTCATTGAGAAAAGGAAGGAAATTTCTCCAGAAGCACCAGAATAGTGCATCTTTCAAATCATAACAGTATGTCATACTTAAGTAAGCAAATACGTAAAAATATAAGATCCACAGAAGGATTTTTCTTTTTTCCACTATCCCAGGACCTAGAACAATGGCCATCACAAAGTGAGTATAGCACTGTTAAACAAATGAATAAAATAGTGAATTATATTTCTAAAACTTTCAATAACATATTTGTATAATTACCTAAGTGCTTTTAATTTATGCATAGGCATAAAGATATTGCAAGCAGTTAGTTTTGCAAATCTCCTAATACATACAACCTATTCAGCACTCCTCCCTTGAAAGTCTGGCTGGAATGTATTAGGTGGCTCCCTACCCATCTCTAGCTTCCTCCATCCCCATTTTTCATGAGATATCACTCTAGAATGGAGCCTCTTGCCACTCTGCTACTCCACCGGTCCCATTCCTGAAAGCTCAGCACTAACCTATCTCCAAGAAATTAATTCCATTTTGAATACTTGCCACCCTAGTGTATAAGTTACTGTTTGGCATAAACAAGGTATCCAGTAACTTTTAGCTTTTCTATAAGAAATTACTCTATCTGTTCTCTCTACAAAACCTGACTTTCTATTGGTGGCAAATCCACTGTCTGGCATAAACAAGGTATCCAATAACCTCTAGTTTTCCTAAAAGGAATTGTCCTATCTGTACTCTTTATAAAACCTGACTTTCTATTGGTGGCAGTTCCGTTGCAACCCTTAGTTCATTTCTGAGACTCCCAAGTTAGAGAAGTATCATGTTTTACCATATTTCTCAACCATCTCTCATGTTTTGTGCTATGTATTACTAGAAGCTCTTTAGATATTAATTCATTTAATCCTATAAATGACTCTGTGAAGCAGATCCTATTTTTAATCCCACTTTTAAATGAGGAAATGAGGCACAGAACTGTCAAGTGATTTTCCCAGGCCACACAGAAGGTGGTAGAACTTGAAACTATGCTCCAAACCACGGTACACACTGACTCTCACTTCTGCACTTGTTTTCATATTCCACTAACGTCGGGATATATTCATAATTTCCTTAACGACATCAGCACCTAGATCATTCAATATGCTTCTCTTCTTCCCCATTCCATCATCATCCTTTGGAATTTACCCTCCTATGGCATTCATACTATAGCATTCATTCACAAAGAAAACCCTTCC